GTCCCCCACATCAAATCAAAATTTGTCCCCTACATCAGATCAACATTTGTCCCCTACATCACATCAACATTTGTCCCCACATCAACATTTGTCCCCTACATCAGATCAACATTTGTCCCCTACATCACATCAACATTTGTCCCCTACATCATATCAACATTTGTCCCCAGATCAACATTTGTCCCCTACATCAGATCAACATTTGTCCCCTACATCAGATCAACATTTGTCCCCTACATCAGATCAACATTTGTCCCCAGATCAACATTTGTCCCCTACATCACATCAACATTTGTCCCCTACATCACATCAACATTTGTCCCCTACATCAGATCAACATTTGTCCCCAGATCAACATTTGTCCCCTACATCAGATCAACATTTGTCCCCTAGATCACATCAACATTTATCCCCAACATCAGATCAACATTTGTCCCCTACATCAGATCAACATTTGTCCCCTACATCAGATCAACATTTGTCCCCTACATCAGATCAACATTTGTCCCCTACATCAGATCAACATTTGTCCCCACATCAACATTTGTCCCCAGATCAACATTTGTCCCCTTACATCAGATCAACATTTGTCCCCTACATCAGATCAACATTTGTCCCCTAGATCACATCAACATTTGTCCCCTAGATCACATCAACATTTGTCCCCTACATCAGATCAACATTTGTCCCCAGATCAACATATGTCCCCTACATCAGATTAACATTTGTCCCCTACATCAGATCAACATTTGTCCCCTACATCAGATCAACATTTGTCCCCACATCAACATTTGTCCCCAGATCAACATTTGTCCCCAGATCAACATTTGTCCCCTACATCAGATCAACATTTGTCCCCTAGATCACATCAACATTTGTCCCCTACACCAGATCAACATTTGTCCCCAGATCAACATTTGTCCCCTACATCAGATCAACATTTGTCCCCTACATCAGATCAACATTTGTCCCCAGATCAACATTTGTCCCCAACATCTGATCATTATTTGTCCCCTACATCAGATCAACATTAGTCCCCTACATCAGATCAACATTTGTCCCCACATCAACATTTGTCCCCAGATCAACATTTGTCCCCTACATCAGATCAACATTTGTCCCCTACATCAGATCAACATTTGTCCCCTACACCAGATCAACATTTGTCCCCAGATCAACATTTGTCCCCAACATCTGATCAACATTTGTCCCCTACATCAGATCAACATTTGTCCCCTACACCAGATCAACATTTGTCCCCAGATCAACATTTGTCCCCAACATCTGATCAACATTTGTCCCCTACATCAGATCAACATTTGTCCCCTACACCACATCAACATTTGTCCCCAGATCAACATTTGTCCCCTACATCAGATCAACATTTGTCCCCTACATCAGATCAACATTTGTCCCCTACATCAGATCAACATTTGTCCCCTACACCAGATCAACATTTGTCCCCAGATCAACATTTGTCCCCAACATCTGATCAACATTTGTCCCCTACATCAGATCAACATTTGTCCCCTACATCAGATCAACATTTGTCCCCTACACCAGATCAACATTTGTCCCCTACACCAGATCAACATTTGTCCCCTACACCAGATCAACATTTGTCCCCTACATCAGATCAACATTTGTCCCCTACATCACATCAACATTTGTCCCCTACATCAGATCAACATTTGTCCCCAGATCAACATTTGTCCCCAACATCTGATCAACATTTGTCCCCTACATCAGATCAACATTTGTCCCCTACATCAGATCAACATTTGTCCCCTACATCAGATCAACATTTGTCCCCTACATCAGATCAACATTTGTCCCCTACATCAGATCAACATTTGTCCCCTACATCAGATCAACATTTGTCCCCTACATCAGATCAACATTTGTCCCCAGATCAACATTTGTCCCCTACATCAGATCAACATTTGTCCCCTACACCACATCAACATTTGTCCCCAGATCAACATTTGTCCCCAACATCAGATCAACATGTGTCCCCTACATCAGATCAACATTTGTCCCCTACATCAGATCAACATTTGTCCCCTACATCACATCAACATTTGTCCCCTACACCACATCAACATTTGTCCCCAGATCAACATTTGTCCCCAACATCAGATCAACATGTGTCCCCTACATCACATCAACATTTGTCTCCTCCATCACATCAACATTTGTACCCTACATCAGATCAACACTTGTCCCCTACACCAGATCAACATTTGTCCCCAGATCAACATTTGTCCCCAGATCAACATTTGTCCCCAGATCAACATTTGTCCCCAGATCAACATTTGTCCCCTACATCAGATCAACATTTGTCCCCTACATCAGATCAACATTTGTCCCCTACATCAGATCAACATTTGTCCCCTACATCAGATCAACATTTGTCCCCACATCAACATTTGTCCCCTACATCAGATCAACATTTGTCCCCTACATCACATCAACATTTGTCCCCTACATCAGATCAACATTTGTCCCCACATCAACATTTGTCCCCAGATCAACATTTGTCCCCTACATCAGATCAACATTTGTCCCCTACATCAGATCAACATTTGTCCCCACATCAACATTTGTCCCCAGATCAACATTTGTCCCCTACATCAGATCAACATTTGTCCCCTACATCAGATCAACATTTGTCCCCTACATCAGATCAACATTTGTCCCCACATCAACATTTGTCCCCAGATCAACATTTGTCCCCTACATCAGATCAACATTTGTCCCCTACATCAGATCAACATTTGTCCCCACATCAACATTTGTCCCCAGATCAACATTTGTCCCCTACATCAGATCAACATTTGTCCCCTACATCAGATCAACATTTGTCCCCTACATCAGATCAACATTTGTCCCCAGATCAACATTTGTCCCCTACATCAGATCAACATTTGTCCCCTACATCAGATCAACATTTGTCCCCACATCAACATTTGTCCCCAGATCAACATTTGTCCCCTACACCAGATCAACATTTGTCCCCTACATCAGATCAACATTTGTCCCCTACATCAGATCAACATTTGTCCCCAGATCAACATTTGTCCCCTACATCAGATCAACATTTGTCCCCTACACCACATCAACATTTGTCCCCAGATCAACATTTGTCCCCAGATCAACATTTGTCCCCTACATCAGATCAACATTTGTCCCCTACATCAGATCAACATTTGTCCCCAGATCAACATTTGTCCCCTACATCAGATCATAATTTGTCCCCTACGGCCAGGAGAGAGAACTCCCATTACACAACAAAGGGAAGGAATAAATACCGCTGAATAATTAATTGGGCCAGGTAGTTATTTAATCATTAACGCGCTGGTGGGGAAATTCTGGCAACGAAAACAATCTGGCAAAGTGCGCTCCGACCGAAGAAATGAGCCAGGAAAACAAAACCAAAGCCAAAAATTGACAAATATATTTGGCCACAAAATAGGAGCGCCATAGATGAATGGCTATAAAATAGCGGGTCCGCTGTTTGTTTTAGGCCCTTACTAATTGTACTGCACTTGAGCGGGGGGTCATTGTTTACCTGACGGGTGGGGGGTGGGGTGATTGTTTACCTGACGGGCGGGGTGTGTACCTGCGCGAGTCACTAACATGAAAGGACCTCTAATCTCGGCGTCACTGATTGATGACGCGAGTCCGTGGCAAGTTACTCTGACGTCAGCTGTGAAGTGCGTCATCGTCTGATTGGTCATTACGACACGTGACCAAAGCACGGCCTGCCATTGGACGATTGGGTTACACGTGTTGCTGTTGTGTCTAGTGGTGGATGGTGTTGTGTCTAGTGGTGGATGGTGTTGTGTCTAGTGGTGGATGGTGTTGTGTCTAGTGGTGGATGGTGTTGTGTCTAGTGGTGGATGGTGTTGTGTCTAGTGGTGGATGGTGGATGGTGTTGTGTCTAGTGGTGGATGGTGGATGGTGTTGTGTCTAGTGGTGGATGGTGTTGTGTCTAGTGGTGGATGGTGTTGTGTCTAGTGGTGGATGGTGTTGTGTCTAGTGGTGGATGGTGTTGTGTCTAGTGGTGGATGGTGTTGTGTCTAGTGGTGGATGGTGTTGTGTCTAGTGGTGGATGGTGTTGTGTCTAGTGGTGGATGGTGTTGTGTCTAGTGGTGGATGGTGTTGTGTCTAGTGGTGGATGGTGTTGTGTCTAGTGGTGGATGTTGTTGTGTCTAGTGGTGGATGTTGTTGTGTCTAGTGGTGGATGGTGTTGTGTCTAGTGGTGGATGTTGTTGTGTCTAGTGGTGGATGGTGTTGTGTCTAGTGGTGGATGAGGGGGGGGGGAGGACAGCAATGATTATCATAGGGTAATACAACACACACACACACACGCACATAAATAACATCGCACACGTACATATACATACACTTACATATTACCCGTGTAAATAAACATATATAGGATGTGTACGTGTTGATATTTTATTAGAGTGCCATTATTATGCCATTATTATGCCATTAATGGTTGCTTAACTTATTGATAAACTCGTCCGATCAATAACTGGAGATTTGAAAATCTCGTGTTCGTTACAACCTTCCCCCCCCCCCTCCATCACTAGAATCAGTGCAATCATTAGCACGTGTCATTAGCACGTGTCAATCTATAATAATCTTCTACCTAGATGTTTATAAAATTTTAAATGGGCTGGAGGGGGGGGGGGGGGGGCTATATCGTTACAGTGAGATAGCCGTTCATTTGATCGATACTGCATCCCCCCCCCATCCCCCACCCCCCACCATACCATGTCAGACAAAGGGAAACAACCATCTTGTACTGGCAGGGGACACAATCTTGCACAAGATTCTATCGACATTTTTATCTGATCCAAACAAAAGTCTGGGTAGTAGCGCCTCCACTCCCCTCCCTCACCTCCACCTCCACCCCCCCCCCCCACCCCACCCCTCCCGTCCCGTTAGTCAAAGATGTGTCAGAATATTTTTCTTATCAACAGATTTGTACTCGTCAGTGGTGGCAGTTGTGTGGCGACACCCTGGAACTAGGTCAACAGCTAAGGTCAACAGCTGAGGTCAACAGCTGAGGTCAACAGCTGAGGTCAACAGCTGAGGTCAGTCAACACAGCTGAGACTGATCAACAGCCCAGAAGCTGTGAAGCCAGGACAGCTAGGACAGCTAGGACAGCCTGTGGTTTAAACCAATCCTAGAACCTATGGCGCCAGAACCTGATCACGTGACCCTCTGAGACTGGCGCCTGACAGATGATGACGGAGGAGACATTCATCTTAACATGGATTTCTACCACATAAGGTCAGTGGTCTAAGGTAACTGTCACTTCATTAACTGCTGAGTTGACTTACTTAATTAAAACTTCCATCTGTCAGTTCATTAACTGCTGAGTTGACTTAGTTAATTAAAACTTCCATCTGTCAGTTCATTAACTGCTGAGTTGACTTAGTTAATTAAAACTTCCATCTGTCAGTTCATTAACTGCTGAGTTGACTTAGTTAATTAAAACTTCCATCTGTCAGTTCATTAACTGCTGAGTTGACTTAGTTAATTAAAACTTCCATCTGTCAGTTCATTAACTGCTGAGTTGACTTAGTTAATTAAAACTTCCATCTGTCAGTTCATTAACTGCTGAGTTGACTTAGTTAATTAAAACTTCCATCTGTCAGTTCATTAACTGCTGAGTTGACTTAGTTAATTAAAACTTCCATCTGTCAGTTCATTAACTGCTGAGTTGACTTAGTTAATTAAAACTTCCATCTGTCAGTTCATTAACTGCTGAGTTGACTTAGTTAATTAAAACTTCCATCTGTCAGTTCATTAACTGCTGAGTTGACTTAGTTAATTAAAACTTCCATCTGTCAGTTCATTAACTGCTGAGTTGACTTAGTTAATTAAAACTTCCATCTGTCAGTTCATTAACTGCTGAGTTGACTTAGTTAACTGTCAGTTCATTAACTGCTGAGATGACTTAGTTAATTAAAACTTCCATCTAGCATAAAGTGCACCAGTCATAACAAACTTTTATCCGGTTATTTTCTTTAGTCTAAAATTGGTCTAAAATTTCGTCTAAAATTTTCGTCTATCTGCCATCTATCTGCCATGTATCTGCCATGTATCTGCCATGTATCTACCATCTATCCGCCGTGTATCTGCCATTTATCTACCATCTATCCGCCGTGTATCTGCCATGTATCTGCCATCTATCTGCCATGTATCTGCCATCTATCAGCCGTGTATCTGCCATGTATCTGCCATGTATCTGCCATGTATCTGCCATGTATCTGCCATCTATCTGCCGTGTATCTGCCGTGTATCTGCCATGTATCTGCCTTGTATCTGCCATGTATCTGCCATGTATCTGCCATCTATCTGCCATCTATCTGCCATCTATCTGCCATCTATCTGCCATCTATCTGCCATCTATCTGCCGTGTATCTGCCATCTATCTGCCATCTATCAGCCGTGTATCTGCCGTGTATCTGCTGTGTATCTGCCATGTATCTGCCATGTATCTACCATCTATCTGCCATGTTTCTCCCATCTATCTGCCATCTATCTACCATCTATCTGCCATCTATCAACCATCTATCTGCCGTGTATCTGCCATCTATCTACCATCTATCAGCCGTGTATCTGCCATGTATCTCCCATGCATCTACCATCTATCTACCATCTATCTGCCATCTATCAGCCGTGTATCTGCCATGTATCTGCCATCTATCAGCCGTGTATCTGCCATGTATCTACCATGTATCTGCCGTGTATCTGCCGTGTATCTGCCATCTATCTGCCATGTATCTGCCATCTATCTGCCATGTATCTGCTGTGTATATGCCATGTATCTGCCATGTATCTGCCATCTATCTGCCATCTATCTGCCATCTATCTGCCATCTATCTGCCATCTATCTGCCATTTTTCTGCTGTGTATCTGCTGTGTATCTGCCATGTATCTGCCATCTATCAGCCGTGTATCTGCCATGTATCTGCCATGTATCTGCCATGTATCTACCATCTATCTACCATCTATCTGCCATCTATCTGCCATGTATCTGCCATCTATCAGCCGTGTATCTGCCATGTATCTGCCATGTATCTGCCATGTATCTGCCATGTATCTACCATCTGTCTGCCATCTATCAGCCGTGTATCTGCCATGTATCTGCCATGTATCTGCCATGTATCTGCCATGTATCTGCCATGTATCTACCATCTATATGCCATGTATCTGCCAAGTATCTGCTATCTATCAGCCATGTATCAGCCATGTATCTACCATGTATCTACCATGTATCTGCCGTGTATCTACCATCTATCTGCCATGTATCTGCCATGTAAAGCGTACATAACGTGTGAGCAGCTTTATCCAGAAACATGTGATCACAGTTTTTTCTCTCTCTAACCACTAGCACGTGCTATTTACATATCTTTAGAACCCCGCCCCCCCCCCCCTCCACCTCCGGCCCCACCCCCGGCCCCACCGTCCTGTTTCATTTATTTCTCCCCCAGCCTTTTAATTCTCCGCGCACTCCTCCCCCGGCCCCTCACCCCCACCCCTCACACCCCCGCCCAAAATCCGATGACGGCCACACATTATAAACAGTTATATCAAACATTTTACGTTTGCTCTCTATCTGTATTTAGCCATTTTATTTTTTTATTTAATCGTTTGTTGACCATTTCAATCTAGCGACCATCATAGTCTAGCGACCATCATAGTCTAGCGACCATCATAGTCTAGCGACCATCATAGTCTAGCGACCATCATAGTCTAGCGACCATCATAGTCTAGCGACCATCATAGTCTAGCGACCATCATAGTCTAGCGACCATCATAGTCTAGCGACCATCATAGTCTAGCGACCATCATAGTCTAGCGACCATCATAGTCTAGCGACCATCATAGTCCAGCGACCATCATAGTCTAGCGACCTAAGCTTGCTAGTCTAGCGACCATCATAGTCTAGCGACCATCATAGTCTAGCGACCATCATAGTCTAGCGACCATCATAGTCTAGCGACCTTTATAGTCCAGCGACCATCATAGTCTAGCGACCATCATAGTCTAGCGACCATCATAGTCTAGCGACCATCATAGTCTAGCGACCATCATAGTCTAGCGACCATCATAGTCTAGCGACCATCATAGTCCAGCGACCATCATAGTCTAGCGACCTTTATAGTCTAGCGACCATCATAGTCTAGCGACCTTTATAGTCTAGCGACCATCATAGTCTAGCGACCATCATAGTCTAGCGACCATCATAGTCTAGCGACCATCATAGTCCAGCGACCATCATAGTCTAGCGACCTTTATAGTCTAGCGACCATCATAGTCTAGCGACCATCATAGTCTAGCGACCTTTATAGTCTAGCGACCATCATAGTCTAGCGACCATCATAGTCTAGCGACCATCATAGTCTAGCGACCATCATAGTCTAGCGACCATCTCAGTCTAGCGACCATCATAGTCTAGCGACCATCATAGTCTAGCGACCTTTATAGTCTAGCGACCATCATAGTCTAGCGACCATCATAGTCTAGCGACCATCATAGTCTAGCGACCATCATAGTCTAGCGACCATCATAGTCTAGCGACCATCATAGTCTAGCGACCATCTCAGTCTAGCGACCATCATAGTCTAGCGACCATCATAGTCTAGCGACCATCATAGTCTAGCGACCATCATAGTCTAGCGACCTTTATAGTCCAGCGACCATCATAGTCTAGCGACCTTTATAGTCTAGCGACCATCATAGTCTAGCGACCATCATAGTCTAGCGACCATCATAGTCTAGCGACCATCATAGTCTAGCGACCATCATAGTCTAGCGACCATCTCAGTCTAGCGACCATCATAGTCTAGCGACCAAAACTTGCTAGTCTAGCGACCACCACAGTCTAGCGACACTTGGTCTAACGTTACTAAATAAAGAAAATGATGTAATGTTTTTGTTTTTACTTTCATTGCATTTAAAAGTTTGTTATAAGTAAAGCTTTTAATTCACCATTAGGAGGGGGGGGGGGGGGTTGTTCTCATAGTGTGGGGGTTGTTCTAACAGTGGGCTGGGTGGGCTTGGGTGTGCTGGGTGGGCTTGGGTGTGCCATTTACCTTCCTTTTAGATCTGACACGCTGCTGTCATAGTCGAACAATTGACAAGTATCGATACGCTCAACTTTACAATTATTTACAGAATCGATACATTTAACTTTCCAATTTTTTCACGATATGGGCCCGCGATGTAAAAATAAAGACACATTTTAAAACGAACGTGTTAAGATGGCGGGAGGCGACATACTGTTTCCGCTTCCGGTTAAGTTCGATCTTCGGCTAGTGATTGATTGCCCGCGGGTCGTCAATATCGAACGTTACAAATCAAAGAGCGTCGACCCGAAGCGATATTCAGAGAGCGATACCCACATCATATCATGTCTTGTCTTGTCTGTCCTGTCTTGTCATGCCTGTATTGTCCTGTCTTAACTGTCTTGTCTTGTATTGACTGTCTTGTCTTGCCCGTCTTATCCTGTTTTATCTAGACTGTCTTGTCTGTCATGTCTTGCCTGTCTTGACTTGACTGTCTTGTCTTGTCTGTCGTGCCTATCTTAGCTAAAACTCCGTGACAGCAAACGTGATTGGTGTGTTTAGCTCACGTGACTTGCCTCAATTAGCCAATCGCAATAAAGCGATCCTTGACCCGGATATGGTTAGACCGGAAGTTGCCACACGAGTAAGTTTCTCTGGCTAATGGAGAGGTTGGGTCGAGAGACTTTTATCGACAGGGACCTGTTGGTCAGTAGACAGGGACCTGTTGGTCAGTAGACAGGGACCTGTTGGTCAGTAGACAGGGACCTGTTGGTCAGTAGACAGGGACCTGTTGGTCAGTAGACAGGGACCTGTTGGTCAGTAGACAGGGACCTGTTGGTCAGTAGACAGGGACCTGTTGGTCAATAGACAGGGACCTGTTGGTCAGTAGACAGGGACCTGTTGGTCAGTAGACAGGGACCTGTTGGTCAATAGACAGGGACCTGTTGGTCAGTAGACAGGGACCTGTTGGTCAGTAGACAGGGACCTGTTGGTCAGTAGACAGGGACCTGTTGGTCAATAGACAGGGACCTGTTGGTCAGTAGACAGGGACCTGTTGGTCAGTAGACAGGGACCTTTTGGTCAGTAGACAGGGAGTCAGTAGACAGGGACCTGTTGGTCAGTAGACAGGGACCTGTTGGTCAGTAGACAGGGACCTGTTGGTCAGTAGACAGGGACCTGTTGGTCAGTAGACAGGGACCTGTTGGTCAGTAG